ACGGAGCCCCAGATCTGTTGGTCAGTGAGCCATATCAGAGAGAGAGAGAGAGAGAGAGAGAGAGAGAAGTGGGTTTAACTCCACTTGACACAAACCATGTCATTTCAGGACTAACATATGGTTCTACTCTTATTTCAATAATTCACTTGCATGTAGGGTTCCTCAGTAGTGAGGGAAAACCGGTGAACCCAGAGAATATCCACGAGGTTAGACAGACGACCCTACAAGCAGGATATCAAAATCATGTCACCGGACTTAATGACAGACCTTATGTTAAACCATAAAATAGTACGCGGTCAGGTGCACCCTTCCCTTGGCTCGTTCGTTAGTTCGTTTCTGGAGTTTTACATCCACTTCCACCAAGGGTGATATCGTAGACTACCCTTGTCTCACCGTAAGCTATCATCAATATAAAATGACTACAGTGCTGTAGATCGCTAGATCTGGTTTGACTTAGGTTGAAAAGAAAAATTTGTCGATTTCTTTGGACTCTTTTTTTGGTTTGTGTTGTAAAGATAACAATCTGTTGAAATTTTGATGTCTATCGATAAAGACAAAATCAGTGTTGTATTTCGAAATAAGCCGAATTTTACTGAAATTTAGTAAACAAGCCAATTTCTGCTTAGTTACAGTTATGTTACTCTTTTCTAAGAAGACTAAATTACACAATAGTTGTAATTTGGTATGCTTGTGAGAAAAGTTATTGAAGCCTGTAATATAGTGATTGCTATCCATAGTTTAGTAGGCCTACTTTGTTGTGTTGAACAATAAAACATTTAAGTGTACACAGAGATTGACCTACCGGTATCTATCATTATTTATTAATATAATTCACCAGAATTTTTATGCGAGTGACTAATAATAGCGTGTACCAAGCTTAATATTTGGCTCAAAAACTGGTTATGATTTTAAGCGGAAAAGTAGGTATCGAATTACTTTTGACGGTACCTTTATTTTTATTGACGGATGGTGTAACTTGGCGGAAGATGTTCGGGAGAATGTTGGGCCTGTGGAATATGACAATTTGACCCGTATCAGGCGAGTGGAACGATTTTTTCTAGAATTTTAAAAAATTCAAATATTTTCCATTTCTTTACGTAGGAATATTCCAAAAGAATTTTACGATTTTATGACATTTTAGAGAATATTCTATTCATAAAAAATTAAAAACTGAATTGTCATGGACGTAATCATGCGTTTAATTGAGAATTAAGTAAAAATACAGCAAATAACGGTACATGGCAATAAACCGGAAGTTGAATATCTAGCTGTAGCTATCGGTTTTCATTCCGTAAAAATGTGCTTAATCTGTCTTTTTTTTACATAGATCGGTTACAACATGACTTAGAAAATAAAACTACCGATGTTTATAATATATTAATGATTAAATTTTAGCCAATATTATTCGATCAGTAGAAAATGGACCGAAACTGACCCGAAGAAACAGCATTATTGACAGACATAAATAAAACAGTATGAACGCACGTTTTTTAAAAGCAGAATTATATTATTGTATCAACAAAGAATAATTCACATAGAAACTAAAGTGAAATTCAAATGTTAGGCAAATTTATTATCACTGAAAATACATATGACATAATGTCATGCGATATTGCGAGTAGGCTGTCTTTTTTAAATTGTAAAACTAGTAGTATGGACTGATTCGGTGGGTATGAAATCTAATCCTGGCTTTGCACTGGTTTGTTTAGTGTATTTCTGATGCAGAGGCCTCATGCGTTCAGTGAGAACTGACCAGACTACATGTCATATCAAAAATTGTTACCCCAACTACATGTAGTTGATAAACAAAAAGAAACAGCTAACAAAAAACAATTATTGTTTGAAACCTTCCAAATATTTTTATATAATACCATATATTGTTATTATTTTATAAAAAAATATCTATTTATTTATTATTATATAATACCATGCATGTATTGTTATTATTTTATATAAATAATAACCAATATCTATTTATTTTATTTATTTATTTATTTATATTCATTTATTTATTTATTTATTTATTTATATTCATTTATTTATTTATATTCATTTATTTATTTATTTATTCATATATTTATTTATATTCATTTATTTATTTATTTATATTCATTTATTTATTTATTTATATTCATTCATTCATTCATTCATTCATTCATTCATTTATTTATTTATTTATTTATTTATTTATTTATTTATTTATTTATTTATTTTATTTATTTATTTATTTAGAATTAAATTGAATTGAATTGAATTGAATATTTCGTAGGATGAAATCTTAAAAGCCTTGTTGTAATTTTACTATTTTATATCTATTTTCAGGTACTGGTATAACAAATCAGTAGCATTAGAAATAAATTTTACATTCTTACAATTTCATGTTTCATAAACGTACATTTTTGTTCTTTCTTTTTTTTTTCTATTAAAAAAAATTGTTAACCTTAAATAAATCATATTAAAAGTATCTTACATTCTTACAATTTCATGTTTCATAAACGTACATTTTTAGATAGGTTGCCAGGCAACGAAACATACGCCCACAGCAGCTAAATCGTCCGGGCAGTCAACAAGAGTTGTCGCATATTTTTACTTTTTTCGGTAATGAAACATTTATAATACACTAAAATCTGATTAAGAGCAACAACTCAGAAAACCATTAGAATTTGTTTGGTTTTTATAAAGTTCTGCCCCATGCTAACGTTTTGTATACAAAACTTTTAATACTGCATCATGGATTTAGCTGTTCCAAGTCATAAAAATTCATTGAAAATCAATATACTTGTTCGTCTCAAGATCTTAAAACTCTGTGTATCAATCTGAAGTCAATCGGATATTAACTTTGGCCTCTAGAGCGTCCACAAGATTTTTCAAAGTGATCAAGGGCCATAACTTTGGCAGTAATTATCAGAAATCTTTGAAAATCAATAGGATTATTCGCCTCATGACCTCAAACACTGTGTATAAATTTAAAGTCAATCAGATATTAACTTTAGCCTTTAGAGCATCCACAAGGTTTTTTGAAGTGATCAAGGGCCATAACTCTGGCAGTAATTATCGAAAATCACTGAAAATGAATAGACTTCTTCGTCTCATGACCTTAAACACTGGGTATAAAATTTAAAGTCAATCGGATATTAACTTTAGACTCTAGAGCGTCCACAAGATTTTTCAAAATGATCAAGGGCCATAACTCTGGCAGTAATTATCGTAAATTGCTGAAAATCAATAGGCTTCTTCGTCTCATGGCCTTAAACACTGTATATAAATTTAAAGTCAATCGGATATTAACTTTAGCCTCTAGAGCGTCCACAAGCAATTGTGGACGCCGGACGGGGGCGACGACAATATACGACCCCATTTCAATGTGGGCGTATAAAAATTCATTGAAAATCAATATACTTGTTCATCTCAAGGTCTTAAACACTATGTATAAATTTAAAGTCAATCTGATATTAACTTTCTCCTCTAGAGCATCCACAAGATTTTTTGAAGTGATCAAGGGCCATAACTCTGGCAGTAATTATTGGAAATCGCTGTAAATCAATAGGCTTCTTTGTCTCATGACCTTAAACACTGTGTATAAATTTAAATTCAATCGGATATTAACTTTGGCCTCTAGAGCGTCCACAAGATTTTTTGAAGTGATCAAGGGCTATTACTCTGGCAGTAATTATCGGAAATCGCTGAAAATCAATAGGCTTCTTCGTCTCATGACCTTAAACACTGTCAATCGGATATTAATTTTGGTCTCTAGAGCGTCCACAAGATTTTTTGAAGTGATCAAGGACCATAACTCTGGCAGTAATTATCGGAAATCGCTGAAAATCAATAGGCTTCTTCGTCTCATGACCTTAAACACTGTGTATAAATTTAAAGTCAATCGGATATTAACTTTGGCCTCCAGAGCGTCCACAAGATTTTTTGAAGTGATCAAGGACCATAATTCTGGCAGTAATTATCGGAAATCCCTGAAAATCAATAGGCTTCTTCGTCTCATGGCCTTAAACACTGTATATAAGTCAATCGGATATTAACTTTGGCCCCTAGAGCGTCCACAAGCAATTGTGGACGCCGGAACGACTGCCGGACGGGGGCGACGACAATATACGACCACATTTAATGTGGGCGTATAAGAAGGGGAAATAGCAAACAATCTCAAATTTAAGCCTAACCCTGTTCATTGATAACCAATGTTTCCTGCAAAAAGGGGTTCTTATTTGTTATATGAATGATTGTGAATTTAATAAGGAGTTAACAAACTGTTATTCTACCAAGTTTCATGTTAATTCATTGAAAAATAAATTACCACTTTTTGGACCAGATTTCGATTTTGGACAAAAAAAAACAAAATCAATAAAAATATCAATATTAAAAAAGTATAAGTCTGATTCTAAAAATTTAAACGGTTTTAAAATTCTAATGTTTGAGTTTGGGCAATTATTTATGCCATGTTTCAAAGCAATTGCTCAAAAAATAAAATTTGGTTGGTACATGCTACTAATAAATCGTAAAACCACGATTAAAAATCATTCAGGGAGTCTACCACGTGAAATGATTATTTAATAAGAAGGATTGTCACTTTAGTTTATTAGTAGTAATAGTACAAACTGACAGATCGTTCGTATACTTCATTACTTGTGTACGGATTCATTTCTTACTAATTACTCCCTCAGTCTGATTTCCCCTTCACCAACCAAGTCAGAAAAAGACAACGGAACGGAACCCTGTATAATCATTTATTATAATGGACTACATAGTGGGCTAGTGAGGAATGAATACCCCTCATTCCCTCCAAACTCAAGAAACATTGTATTCACACCCTTCCTTGATCGCTTTCTTTACAGTCACTCGGCCGACAAACCCATGAGCTTGAACTGATTTTTATGTCATATCAGTGTGTGTGTTGTGCTGTATCAGCCAGGCTCGTCTTCGTCAATATATTGTTTAAAAATGTCTCACAGTGTACCACAAACAGCTCTGATTTATGGCTTAATTCCTACCTGTAAGAAAATTCTCTAGTAATACTGCTGCAATCATCAGATCTCCTCTATATTTTCCAAGTATTTGTCAAATTTTCTGACACCGGTCTTGCCTTTCTAAAACAATGCTCACACAGCATCGTGATAGATAAGAACAAAGCGCATGCGCAATATTAACTGCATCCAGAAAGTTACTCATTACTGGCCGATAGGACCTAAATTTGTCAAATCTACAAATACCGCCCAGCCCCTCTTCCCATGTTAAAGTAATGCCATTATATTTTTTTTAAATATGTCAAGAGTTACATATGTAATTAAAATGTTATTCCCCATGGCTTTAAAGCAACAGACAAAAATGCAAGAAATGTAGGCTAGGCCTAATACTAATTAAGTATAGCCTGCTTCTTCACTATGCTAGTAAAATAAAATTGTAAGTACCATAGTAAAAATGTTGGCCCAATCAAAATAGGAAACATCTTATGGTTTTTAAACTGAGTAAATGGTAGCCCATTTCTCCAGATTTATTAGCCTAATGAGTAAATGGTATTTCTCCGGATTTATTAGCCTAATAAACCGGAGAAATACCATTTACTCTTTTTAAAAACCATGTTTCCTGTTTTGATTGGGCCAACATTTTTACTACGGTACTTAAAATTTTACTAGAGTGAAGAAGTAGGGTATTACTGTCCCTGAATTAAACCGAAAAATATCGGCATGAAAGAGAGAGAGAGAGGGGTTTAACGTCCACTCGACACAATTAACTAGGTCATTTCGGGACGAACATATGGTATAATTTTATTTCAATAATTCGCTTGCGCGTAGCTAGGGTCTTTAAGCAGTGGGAGGAAACCGGAGGACCTGGAGAAAACCCACGAGGTTGGACAGGCGACACAACTCCTTAAGTCACATACAACAGGAAAAATCGAATTTAAACCACACCAGTTGACTCAATGACAGCTAGGCCTTATGATACGTACAGCACGCACGTGCTAACCATTCGGCCATCCAAACCCCCCATCATCGGCATGAAATTTAATTGAAAACCACAAATTTTAATAATCGACAATTTGATCTACCCTTTTACTAAAAGAAGTGGACCTAGCCAGTTAGTGATAAACATCCGATGCCTTGATCCTATGCAAAGAATATGCTGTTGGTTAAATTTTGATTTAAAGCAAAATGCAGAAAACATAATGGACAAGGAAACATACAGAATTTTGGAAATCCATTTATGATAAAAGGAGTTATCTCCCTTTATGGAAAATATCAATCTATATTTGTGACTGTCGTTTGTCTGTCTGTCTGTCTGTTCGGGGTTGGCGGCTACACTAGGTCTGCCCCGAGTCTGAAATTTGGAGTATAGGGGTAGCTCGGACCGGGGAGTAACATAGACCAGGTGGCGTTAGTCTACCAGTTCCTGTTTCGGAGTTATGGACACAGATCAAGCTACTATTGACTCCAATGTTAATTCTCGTATCTTAGACCGGCTCTAACGTTGGGTAGAACGCTTTCTACATGGAGCAACATGTGGCAACCACTTGCCCAAAAGCACGTATGAGGTTCTTCATGAAAAACTTGAGATACACAAGCTGGAAGTAGAGACAAATAAACATGCAATTTCAGGCCCTACATTTCAACCTAACCAACCTCTCAACTCTTGTATCAAAGTTATGAATATTCACCAAAACCTGGCAGAAAATTTTCAAACCCTTTTCCTCAATTCTACACCAAAAAGTCAACAAAAATCGCCATGCAAAAGGGGGGAAAAAGGAAAAGGGAGAGGAAGACTAAAAATAGCTTAGGCCCTTGTTTCTTGGGTGACGGCGTAGGAATATTTGGTGATCTGTGTCCTTATGACCCCCGAGCAAAGCCGGTCTGTTCGGGGTTGGCGGCTGCACTAGGTCTGCCCCGAGTCTGAAATTTGGGGTATAGGGGTAGCTCCGACCGGGGAGTAACATAGGCCAGGTGGCGTTAGTCTACCACTTCCGGTTTCGGAGTTACGAACCCCGAGCGAAGCCGGTCTGTTCGGGGTTGGCGGTTACACTAGGTCTGCCCCGAGTCTGAAATTTGGGGTATAGGGGTAGCTCGGACCGGGGAGTAACATAGGCCAGGTGACGTTAGTCTACCACTTCCGGTTTCCGAGTTATGACCCCCGATCGAAGTCTGTCTGTTCGGGGTTGGCGGCTACATCTGCACCGAGTCTGAAATTTGGGGTAGATGGGTAGCTCCGACCGGGGAGTAACATAGGCCAGGTGGCGTTAGTCTACCACTTCCGGTTTCGGCGTTATGACCCCCCCCCCCGAGCGAAGCCGGTCTGTTCGGGGTTGGCGGCTACACTAGGTCTGCCCCGAGTCTGAAATTTGGGGTATATGGGTAGCTCGGACCGGGGAGTAACATAGGCCAGGTGGCGTTAGTCTACCACATCCGGTTTCGGAGTTACGACCCCCGAGCGAAGTCTGTCTGTTCGGGGTTGGCGGCTACATCTGCCCCGAGTCTGAAATTTGGGGTATAGGGGTAGCTCGGACCGGGGAGTAACATAGGCCAGGTTGCGTTAGTCTACCACTTCCGGTTTCGGAGTTATGACCCCCGAGCGAAGCCGGGTATCCTGCTAGTTATTGATAACAGTAAAAGAATTTAACTACAGACAAGGGCCTATATAAGTTCAACCTTTTTTTTTCAGATAGAATTTGAAGCTAAAGGTCTAACAAATATTTAACCTGAAACATATATATAGCATCTACAGATATTTAGTTTTCTCACTAAAATAGATATGGCCAAAACTAAATAATACTATAATGGGAGTGACAATATTGTAATGAAGAGAAAAATATCAAATGGAGATTAATGTCTTACTGTTCTGTACCAACCCGTATAATGAAGATGGGCGTACGTCATACATTATTGTTAGAGGGGGGGGGGCATTGTTTCCCCTTGTCCGTGGCTCACTAAACAGGGGGTCTGGGGTTTGATGCCTGTGTTGACCTAGACAGTTCCCCAAACTTTCCACTTTCTAGCGTTGTTTCCCCTTGTCAGTGGTGCAGATAACAGGGGGTTGGGGCTGTGATGGGCAGCGTCCAGTTATTCGGATGGAATATAAAACTGAGGTTCCGTGCACACGTTGACGTGCATGTAAAAGAACTTTAAATTCGAAATAAAGAGTAGACCGTAATGTATGGCGGGCGTATGTACATCTTCATTATAACGGTTGATTTTTTTTCTCTGCATTACAATTGCCACTCACTTACAGTATTATTTGGGTTTTGACATATATCTATTTTAGTGAAAAAATTATATATAGATGCTTTGTTTCAATTCAAATATTGGTTACGAATTTAGCCCCAAATCTAATCTGAACTAAAGGTTTACATATATATTAGTAGAAATACTGTTTTGGGAGAGCTTATATGCACACCCGCCCTCCCAGATTCGCTGAACCGTCCATTTTTCGGGCAATGTATTTCACTTTTTCGGGCACAAGCTTCAGAGAATGGAGAATGCGACTATATCTCATGGAAATATAATTGTATATTTGTGTAATTAGTTCAAAATAAACAACCATCACAGCTTTGTGGAAAATTCATTTTAGTTAATGATTGATTCATTCAGAAAATTTGGGTGACATTTTTTTCAGGCAACCCCCAACTGAGATTAGCCTCCTACAGCCATGTAGCCCCTTGCCCTTTGTTCAATCCGATTGAGTTTGTTGAATCAAATAATGTTTAAACTATTGATCTTCCTCCCCCTCCCATCCGCACGACTGGGCATTGTTATTCCAGTCCCCTCCCATCCCATACCACTGACTGTGTAAGTGTAATAAATGCAGGGCCTATTTTAAGGTTTTATTGACGAAGCACGGTTTCCGGAGATGGAAGTTTTTTTGATGGGTATCCCTTCCCCCCCTTTGGGTTCCGACAAAATTTCCGAAACGTTTTCCCACTCAGAACTTGATAGGCTCAATTTAGCTTCTTCCATCACCTTTATCGACTCTACTATGTCAGAATAAACTTTCTGAAGTCGTGAACAATTGGTCGTAAAACAAAGGCTCCCCAGAAGTGTAATACACGATACGCTGGGATTTTGTAAGAGATGGGCAAGGAACTTGGAAAATCGATAGGGCTCACATTCTCCATGTCTCACATCGAATATGAACCTGTAGTCTATATCGCGTTCACAAGGTTTTTGGAAAAGTTTGGTAACTCGATAACGGAAGGTCACAAACGCTGAATATCGATGAGGTGTGTCGTCTCACGACCCCAATGCTTAACATCAAATTGGAAAAAAACCCACGGTTAAAACGATAGCCTCTATCGCTTCTACAAAGTTTTCAAAGGGGCTTAACTCCGGAACTGAAGGTCGTGGAATGCTGATTATCGATAGGATTCGCGCTCCCATGTTCCCAATTTATCACATTAGATAGCTCACAAACTTTGTTAAGCTTTGTGTATGTACGGTCATAACCCAAACAGTTGCACCAAAACCGAATTCAATCAAGATCATTTGATCCTCAACATCTAAAACGGGCAAACTAACATTATTTACAGATTTGTATTTATAGCTGCGTAACAGTATCATTGGCAGTCCAAAGAAATATCCAAAAGCAGACGAACCGTTACTGCAACCTGCAGCTGACTACTTGCGTCATCAACAGAATTATTTTTCAGATATTTACAGACAAAATACGAAATTTAAACGAAATCATAAGCAGTGACTGATGATCACAATTATTACTAATGGCAAACTTGCTAAATTTTCTCATACAATTTTTTCAGATTCACAAGGATACATACCATCTTTTCAAAGCACGGATTTATGATTCTCGAAGCACGGATCTTTTATTTCGAAAAACCTCCGTGCCTGTAGGCACGTTAAAATAGGCCCTGAATAAATGTAAAAAGGATACATTTAAACCGATTGAATCAATATGTACAATTGAGATATTCTCCGGACTCAATCGGATTTCAAAGAAATGAAAATTAAATGGGGTTTAACGTCCTACTGTTCTGCTCCGACTCGAATAATGAAGACGGGCATACCCGTGCCATGAGGGAAATTTTGCCCGGACAGCGGCGCCATGGCCTACTCTTATACCGAATTCCAACTGCCAAGGGTTTTTTTACGTTCACGTCAATGTATACACGGGACGTCGGGTTTCGTACCACCCGAACAACTATAGCCTACGTTGTTCCTTACCAGGCCCTCCGTCCTGTACCAATGACAAGGGGGAAAATCCCGATGAGTTTTGTTGACTAGGGATTGAACACGGGACCCCCAGGTTAGCGAGTCTAATGTATTTTTCACAGATTTAATGAAAACCCCATCAAATGATTTTATCAAGATGGCGCCAGCTGGCAGACTTCGTCTGTACCAGATGATGCCGAGTTGCAAAATTTTCAGTTCTCTTTGTATAGTGCGATTCCACTTTCCAAATAGTATAGTTTGCAGTGGACTCAAACGCTCTCAACAAATGACGACCGACAGTCTTAAATCACGACGGCGGGAAAATGAGATGAATTTCCAAGCAATTTCCTATACCCCCTCCCCGCCCGTCCTGAAAATGCGACTTTTAACAAATGTTTAAAATTTTGTGTTCAGCTATCAATAGAAGAATCTCCTCGGAGCTAGCCAGCGCCCTCGTATGTGGCGCCCCAGGGCAAACGTTATATTAGTCGACATTTTATATTTCTTATCGTCATAGTAATATGTATTTTGTATTTCCTTTATTCATTATTATGTACTGAATATTATTATATCACTCACGTACACTGGATATACCAGCACTCGTAATAAACGGCGTATGTCCGTCTTCATTGGCCCAGTAGGACGTCGAAGAAAAATATATGAATAGGTAAAAATAGGTATAAAATAATACTTTATTAACATCATTCACACATAATGGAAACTCGGTGGCTGGGTGGATAAGGATTAGGCGCTGGCTTGAGTTCACAAAGCATTCTCAGACTTATAGGTTAAGAATTTACTCAAAACTTTTCGCCTTATTTTAATTAAGATATAGTTTTGTGTTTCTGGATCGAAGATATTTCTCACTAACAGTGATTGAAAATTGAGTAAATGCTTAACTTAAATCTGCGAATGCTTGTCTAAAAACGCTTTATGAACCCGGTGTTGGCTGGGAATGCTTTATGTACCCGGTGTTGTCTAAAAATGCTTTATGAACCCGGTGTTGGCTAAGAATACTTTATGAACCCGGTGTTGGTGCTTTATGTACCCGGTGTTGGCCTAGAATGTTTTATGAACCCGGTGTTGGCAGAAAATGTTACTCGTGATTTTCCAATTTGGCTTCCTTTTTTCAGTCGTCGCAAGCAACAGCGTCTGATCGTTCAGATGGGACGAAGAAACGATGCCCAGTGTGTGTACACATTGGCTAGTAAGAGGAACATTTCATGGCTTGTGTCATTAGCCCGGTGGTCTAAAAGGTATGGCAATAAGTTTACACTGCCTTTTCACACCTCCATATTTATTCCTCTGTAAAAGCACCGGAAGACTCTGGCTCGCCCCTCAGAGAGTTCCCCGGGATTTGCATGTGTCGAGTAGTTCAGATGGGCGTGCACTTAAAAGAACCCTCGACAGTTGGAATTCGATATAAGAGTATGCGACAGTTTCTCTTATGACAGGCACACCTTCTTCAATAGTCAGTTCGGTGCAAAAATGTAGGACATCAAGACCCATTCCATTTTGTATTAAAATATATTTATCTTATACTCACAAACACCGCCAACTCGGGATATAATCCATTCTATATCATTAGTGTTGTACTGATCAAAATTATTATATTTATCTCAAATTTCACTTTTCAGTCCTTATCAGAATTCTCCCAGGCTTCCCCTTTATGACAAGATTTGTAATTACGACCATCCAGGGCAGTTGAAGGAAATGACAAACCAAGATGTGACAAGATTTCCGTTAGTCACACATAACTTCAGATCCTTTTAGATTGTGATAGCTTCAGCATGAATTTTGACCGCTTTAAGTAGGCCTATAACATTTCTTTGAAAACGGAGAGAGAGAGAGAGAGAGAGATGGGGTTTAACGTCCACTCGACACAAACTAGGTCATTTCGTGACCAACATATGGTTTAATTTTATTTCAATAATTCGCTTGCGCGTAGGGGTCTTTAGCAATGGGAGGAAACCGGAGACCCGGAGAAAACCCACGAGGATGGACAGGCCAAACTACTCCTTGTCCCGTACAACCGGGTACAACTTGACTCAATGACAGGCCTTATGATACAGCACGCACGTGCTAACCATTCAGCCATCCAACCCCCCCCCCCCCCGCACCAGGGGGTTTAAAAGAAGAGGTCAAAATGTAAAACGTAGATGTCCCGATATAAATGAAATGAAATGGTGTTTTACACCCTACTGTTCTGCACCGACTGAGCTAATGAATACGAGTATACACCATTCAGTGTGCTATGAGGAAAATTTTGCCCGGAAAGCGGCGCTACGGCCTACTCTTATATCAAATTCCAACTACCAAGTGTGTACATCGCGCCTCGGTTTTTCGTTCCATCCGAACGAATAGACAGCTATCTTTGTCAGGCCCTCCGTCCTGCACCACTGACAAGAGGAAACCAAATGTCCCGATAACGGATGAATGAAATGGGGTTTAACGTCCTATTTTGCTGTACCGACTGGGCTAATGTAGACGGGCATACGGCATACAGTGTGCTATGAGGGAAATTTGCCCGAACAGTGGTGTTTGCGCCTTCTCCACGTCGAATTCCAACTGACATAATTAAGCTTGATATTATGTACGTGTAATGTAGATAATAGACGTGTCGGACTAGGCCCCGATTACCTGCCGCGGCCCGGATACCCTGACGGTGACGAGAGTATCGGTAAAGATAAAGATAAGAGAATTATCGGTTAAGTCAAAGATAAGAGAAGTTTTGGTTAAGTTAAAGATAAGAGAAGTATCGGTTAAGTTAAAGATAAGAGAAGTATCGGTTAAGTTAAGTTAAGTTAAAGAGGCGTATCGGTTAAATTAAAGATAAGAGGAGTATCGATTAAGTTAAAGATAAGAGGAGTATCGGTTAAGTTAAAGACAAGAGGAGTATCGATTAAGTTAAAGATAAGAGGAGTATTGGTAAAGATAAAGATAAGAGGAGTATCGGTTAAGATAAAGATAAGAGGAGTATCTTATAATGTGGACATATAAAAACTACATAATGTATCAGGATAATGCTGAAAATTTCAGTCAAACTACTTAACTCAGAGCCGAGAAAATCTTATTTTAAAATCGCTGTAGGCTCAACTGTCATTGTTACCGCTGTCACGATAATTAACTAAGTCTCGGTTACCTATTTTCACGTTTAATCATCAATTACCGGTAATGTTGAACAGCAGAACCATTCAAATTTTATGAAGATCAGACACATAAAATGGCATCGAGAGTTGATTATGGTCTTTTCATGTTTAATTAATAGTTTATATAAGGTACAACTAGGGGAATCGAAACCACCCCATTTGACTCGATAACAGACTTGATGATGCAACACCATTCGGCCGTCCAACCCACACTAGAATTAGATGAACTAATTAACATCAAGGGAATGTATCTTTATAACTGGCAATTTATTGGTTTAAATCATGTTTTATTCTAAATTGATAGGCAGATGATGAGCATTTGTATAGACATATAATTACAGCAATTATAGTCTTATAATTTACATTGTTTCCAGGAAAAAAATACTTTTTTTAAAACCAAAATTTGTGCTGCTAAATTTTTAATTAAAACAAATTATGAAAACAGTAATTACAAATAATGTAACTGTACTTAAAAATTATGAAAATTGTAATTACAAATTGTGAAACTGTAATTACAAATTGTGAAACTGTAATTACAAATTGTGAAACTGTAATTACAAATTGTGAAAAATGTAATTGAAGTTCTCTCTCCATTTATGCAAAATACAGCTATCCAAGGTTCCAATGGAATTTCATAATTTTTTACATTTTATTTCAATTTGGGTATATTGTTCATATCATAAGACAGAAGCCAAATATCAAATTTATATATAAAAAAAAATAATAAAAACATTTCTGAGGTAACAAGAGAAAGACCACTAATATATTAGAATTCTAATACTACATCAAAGTCATGGCAGCCATATATTCCTGGCATGTCAGTGAAACCATTGATTCCATGACCAACCATTGATTCCATGTCCAATCAGGGCAGCCATTGATTCCATGAGAGAGCCACCAAAGGTCATAGTAATGGAGTTCAATACAGTATAATTTTTCATGACCACATACATGTACATAGCTGGTTTACAAATCAAATATACCAAATCATCATTTGAATACTCAATTTAATTGGAATGACAAATTATCAGACCATTTTTTGATGGATTTTCAACTTTCTAGATACAATATATTTTTTTATATCAATATATGTTCTATTTATTTTTAAATAATACTGGATTTCATTTTATTGATATCAATAAATATTTCATAGGAGAAAAATTTCATTAATTTTCATTTTACATTGAATAATGAATAGTAAAATGTGGACTTGAAAAACTATTCAAATTTTGAATAGTAAAACATGGGTTCAAAACAGACTTGAAAAACTATTCAAATTCAAATATTTGACATTTAATGAATAAAATACCAGTTTGAATAGACTTGATAAACTATTCAAATACGAATAGCACTAATTATTTAGGTTGATTATATGACAGTTATTGGATATTTCTGGAAAACAAAATGAACAGTGAATGCCAAACGAGGTAAGGTGGCCTTTCCCATAAATCTCTATAAAGAATGTAAAATTGCTCTAAACTTAAGGCCATGGTTGTACAGCTTTCTCAGAAAGAAATTTTCCTCTAATGTCAGTTCCTTCTGGTAACAGAGCGCAAAGTACTGGCGTTTCCGCACCTGAAATAAAATTCAAATATTTAAAAATATTAAAATAAATTTTAAATGTTAAAATAAATTTAAATATTAAATAAATTTTAAATATTAAAATAAATTTTAAATATTAAAATAAATTTTAAATATTAAAATAAATTTTAAACATTAAAATGAATTCTAAATATTATGAGAAATTCTAAATATAAATTTTAAATATTAAAATAAATTTTAAATATTAAAATAAATTTTAAATATTAAAATAAATTTTAAATATTAAAATAAATTTTAAATATTAAAATAAATTTTAAATATTAAAATAAATTTTAAATATTAAAATAAATTTTAAATATTAAAATGAATTCTAAATATTATAATAAATTCTAAATATAAAATTTAAATATTAAAATAAAATTTAAATACAATCTATTGTACATAAAAGAATCTTGGACAGCTTGAATTCGAAATAGGCGTAGGCCATAGTGAGCACTGCTGTCCGGACAAAGGTTCCCTCATAGAATACTGAATGCTGTATGCCTGTTGAAGCATAACAGTAGAAACCTCATTTCATTTCATTTCTAGTGCAAATTTGAACATCGAAACTCAGTTGATTGTCCTGAACAACCAGACACACTTACCTTATCTATTCCACAGATACATCTGTGGTGTGAACCATAGAAATAAATACAGACAGAATGTCAATACAAAGAGTTTAGTGTTATGATGTAGTATGTTGTGCAGTGCCTGCGCGATGAGAAGTTTGCACAAGTTTGGTTCATGGGACCTCTTACAAGTGTGACCCAAACTCTTCATTACCGATGAGAGGAGAGAGAGAGGAGAGAGAGAGAGAGAGAGAGAGAGAGAGAGAGAGGGGGTTTAACGTCACAAACTAGGTCATTTCAGGACAAACATATGGTTCAATTTTATTTCAATAATTCGCTTGCGCGTAGGGGTCTTTAGCTGTGGGAGGACAGCTGACCCTGCTCTGTCACATACAACCAGGGAATCAAAACCACACCAGTTGACTCATGACAAACTTTATGATACAGCACGCACGTACTAAGCATTCGGTCATTCAACTCCCCATGGATAAAAGAAGCAACGAATAAACATGACAAGAATTTCTTTACCTTGATCAATAGTCTTAGTTCCTTTATGACTGGTCATATCTGTATCTACGTAACCAGGGCAACACTGAAAATCACAGAAAAAAACAAAAAATAAAATTACCTTCATCAATAGTTTTACTTCCCTTATGACTGGACATATCGGTATTTATGAAACCAGGGCAACACTGTAAAAATATAATGGGAACAAAAAGTTAGTGTTAGTGTCATTATCAGAGTTACATGTAACCTTTTTATCGCTTCATCCGAATGACTAGATTAGATGCTGTTCCTTGCCAATATCATTTCTTTCTCGACATCGTTTTATAATTTTAATAATGTAACAAAAGAAGAAAACAATTCTAAAGTAATAGAAATATCTGTGATGTAATAAGATAACACGCTACTTTCAATTGATGTGGTTCACTAAACGACTGGTCATACCTGTCTGTTTAAGAAGGGAGGTCACTCTGTGTAAGTTTAAAACATGAGAAAAGACAATAGACAAAGTTCAGAACATCGGTTTAATTTTATTTCCGTAATTTGCTTGTGCATATATAGGGGTCTTTAGCTGTGGTAGGATAAGGAGGACCTGGAGATATACCACACCCATATATAATATACCACACCCATATAAAAACATGGCATATTTAGACATGTGTTACCATATACCATACCTTATATACATCAGGTGTTATCTTATTATACCATACCTTATATACCCTAGTTAGATATACTCCATCTAATATCATGTGTTATAATATAACTTTTATACACCAAGTAGATATACCACACCTATAGATATACCACACCTATATATACACCACACCTGTATATTACAATTAAAGTTTTTGTACATATGAAAAGATACAATGGCCTATAACTTACAGCATTGACAACAATATCATCTTTGGAATTTAATTCTCTCTGTTGAATAAATGCCATCACAGTCACACCAACTTTAGACATACCATACGCAGATTCGGGAAAACCAGATTCACTAACCTTTCCAGCTTTAGCAGCACTTCAGAATAAAAGAAATAAAAATATTAAAAGTAACAACCTGATTAAAGCACTGGCTCCTAATCAGAACATTTCAAAAATAATAACAGATTGCTTGAGGCAGAAAATATTCCAACTGACAGCAAAGTTATTTTTTCTACCCATACAGGTTTCAAATAGTTGTCAGATACTAATCATTGTAAAATTCTTTAAAAGATAGGTGGCCAGACAACAAAATGTACACAGCATGTAAGTCCTGCGAGCAGTAGTCTAGACAAGGATTTAGAGCTTCCACAAGATTTTTCAATGTGGGCACATAAAAATTACATTATGTAAGATTTAGATAAAGAGCTAGCCATTCTTGCTATATTAGTTCGAAAATAGATAATGTAAAATGAATAATTTGAAAATTTCATTCAAATTACTCAATTGCAAGCGTAGACATTAGCCTTGAAGGTTTGACAAGACATATGCTATAATTTCAACCCCCGTACTGTTTGTTCGAAGCTAAGTCTTGCTCCTCCAATTTTAGCTTAAATCAAAATATGGCTGAACTGTTCTAATCTAAATCTATTTAATATTGGAGAAATCCGATGCCATCGAGAGTTGATTATGGCCTGGATAAGTTAATTAATGTCTAATTAATAATTTAGAAATCATTTCAGGCCTAAAGAAAGACTTGCAATAGGCAGATTTAGCTCTTGCATAATGCATGTTTAACATACTATTGATTCTAACGTTTAAGGATCAAACAAACAATCGAGAGTGACTCTATTTGCAATCTTATTAAAATACAGATTTTTATTTTGTATCTTTTTTTTTTATACTTTCGATGGCCACTACTACATAAAGATCTGACCAGTTGTAGTGGGAGGTTGCGTCAGGTGTAATAAGTGGCTTTTGACCCTATGACGTCAGACATTTGATTAACCAATCAGCGTTGATGTTTCTAGTGGGATACCCATGGTTCCGTGCACTGCACGTCAAGAACTCGCCACAGCAAACCGTTTCATTGGCTAATCTCCCCAATCAACCAGAAAGCAGGCTATATAACAACTCTTCTAGATCCAAGTGTAGTAAAGACAAGTAAAACAAAATTTTGAACTATAAAATACAAAAGGAAATAGGATCTGTGTTTTGATCAGATTGTTCTATTTGAGACTACAATCAGGGCAATCACTGTAATCAGTCACCAAATTGTATTTCACATTTCCCTATCTTTCTATACATATGAATTTTGAATTCATCATATTTATGGAAATACTAAAAATTGAACCATGTTTGGACTGATATTCGGCTAAATCTATTTGTTAAGACGAGCTCAATTTTTGTCATGGTCGCTGAGATGTAAATAAGGTTACAGCACTGGTTAGGGTTAGGGTAAGCATTGCGACTAGGTCCAGGGTTAGGGTTGGGATTAGCGCTAGCCTCGTTTACATCTCATGACCTATGATAAAAAGTTGAGTTGGCCTTATCATTTGGCACTAACCCCAATATTCCTTAGGTTACAAGGGATTCACAATGCTTCAAATGACGTTCATAGTGTAAGATACCCACTTTTTTTTTATTGTCAGTAAAAATCTTGGTTTTATATCATAAAAGAAAAGCAAAAATGAAAAAAATAATAAATAATAAATTTTTTTTTTACATACTCAACGAAATTTTGCATTATTTGTTTCAGTTCATCAATGGTTAATGCAGGATCCAGAAAACGAGCTTTCAAAGCTTCAGAACATTTTTTACCAGTCCACTGTGAAACCATACTGGATACATGAACAACTCTAGAAAACAAATCATAATACAACTCATCATACATAATATCAGGTGGTTGGGGTGGCCGAATGGCTTAACACGTGTGATTCCCCGCTTGTACGTGACAAAGAGTAGGGTGGCCTGTCCAATGTCGTGGGTTTTCTACAGTTTTTCCTGGACAGTGGCACTATGGCCAGCTCTTATATCAAATTCCAACTGCCAAGGGATCTCTTATGTGCACGCTTGTATACATGGGACCTCGTTTTTTCGTCCCATCCAAATGACTAGACAGCTGTCCTCCTTGTCAGACCCTCCTTCCTGCAACACTGACAAGGGGAAACTAGGCCAGAAAATCCTGATGAACTTTCTCGACCAATGCAGGGATCGAACACGGGACCTCCAGGCTAGCAAGCCAGCGTCTAATCCATTTAGCCAACGACTCCTTGTCACATACTAGCAGGAAATCAAAACCACACCAATTGACTAAATGACAGACTTTGTCATCAAAGGATGTTAAAACCCAGTTCATTTCATTTCTTTAATTTGTCTTCACGGAATATTTTAATTATTATATTACCGGGAATGAGGCCTGAGCAGTGGAAACAAAACATTAGAAATATCTAATGTAGCTGTAAAATTGGTTCTAACCGTCACTTCAGCTTGTTCGGAAAATGGGGCTGTTGATGCTGCCTGAAAAGAAAACATTGCATGACATCATAGATTTATGACTACCGTAACTGAACTATTCCAGCAAAATTCAAAGGGAAATCACAACATTTTGTAGTTTAACGTCCTACTGTTTTGCTCGTACCAGGCTAATGAAGATGGGCATCGCCATACAGTGTGCTATGAGGGAAACTTTGCCCAGGCAGCGATGCTACAGCCTACTCTTAAACATATTGAACCATACAGCCACCCAACCCCCCATTTTTAATATGATTCTCCACATCTTGATGTCAGATTGGGTATATTCCGAGCTGGACGTTTTCCAACTTACGTAGGACATGTCCGGCTCATATGGGCAAAACAATCTCCATGTGTTAAACCCCCATTTCTTTCCCTTTTTCCTTATTACGTAATAATAGACCCACCTTATAGGCAATACCAGCATTATTAACCAACAGATCGAGACCACCATAATTAGATTGAAGATATTGTTTTAATGTTTCAATACTGGACATATCACAAATATCTAACTGGTGAAACTCAGGTTTTAAATTTTCTGCATTTAAATCGCTCACAGCCTTTTTACCCAAATCTACATTCCTCGCTGGAAAAAAAAAAGGTTTTACATATCATGTTTAAAGAGATGTTATGGTGATGCAGGTGCTGGAGGTTTGGGGGTGATTCCAGTGTAGGCCAAGAAAGTTCCTCATGATTTTACAGTCTGGCCTCCCCTTGTCAGCGATACGGAATGGCGGGCCTTGTCAGTGGTGCAGGATGACCTCCCCTTGTCCGAGGAACAGTACAGCGGGACATATCAGCTGTACAGTCTGGCCTCCCCTTTAGTGGTGCATGATGACAGCCTTGTCAGCAGTGCATGATGGTGGGCCTTGTCAACAGTGCATGATAGAGGGCCTTGTTTGTCATGTAGGATGGTGGTCATTTTTAGTGTTACAGGATGGCAGGAATTGCAAGGAAAAAGCTTCTAGTTGTTTGGTTGGAACAGGGGTTTTAAACAGCGCGAGGAAACCAAAAGGCCCAGAGAAATCCCACTGTGTTAGGCAGGTGACCCACACAAAATAGAAATTCAACTGTGCACTCATCACTGTGCATTTAAGGCTTCCTTGACAGTTAGAATTCGATAATGACGAGTCACCATTTGGATAAGAATTATCCTGTATTGATACTAACCTGTTAGAATAACATCACCTTGGAACTGTTTACATAAAGCTCTTACGATACCAAAACCTACACCTTTATTTCCACCTGTTACCTGAAGGAAATAACAAAACAGAAGTCATTAAATAACAACAAATACAAGAGAATAATGCAGCAGGGGAGACAACTTCACACTAATGCCATAGATCAGACCACTGAATAGTCCACTCAATTGGAGAAACCCATAAACCTAGTTCCCTCCAATTCTCCCTTTGCATGGCAAATTTTATTGACTTATGTTTGAATTTTAAGTAGTTACTGAATCTTTATATTTTAGAATCTTAGTTAAAATGTTGGTGGTTGACAGCTACATCCAAAAAATTTCCATGCTTCAGGTCAAGATGCTATTTTGGTTCCGGTATCTCAAAAATTTCCATGCTTTAGGGCAAGATGCTACTTTTGGTTCCGGTATCTCAAAAATTTCCTTGCTTCAGGTCAAGATGCTACTTTTGGTTCCAGTATCTCAAAAATTTCCTTGCTTCAGGTCAAGATGCTACTTTTGGTTCCGGTATCTCAAAAATGTCTATGCTTTGGGACAAGATGCTGAGTTGCTTCATCGATGGTGGAAAGCATTCAATCGACAGAGATTAAAGACATTAGAAAATTCTTTTGGGATCTGGATATTTAAAAGCAGCTGATCGTCATCTGAGGGATTTTTAATCCCATGTAAACTTGTGAATGTTGAATATCTAAAAGGAATATCAGACCCTAAAATAATTCAATTGCTTTCAGTATTTACAAAAAGAAAGATGAATTCAAAATTTCTCAACATATTGCCTCCTCTGTAAACAAGCCAGCAGAACCTACGAATATGGGTAAAATCTATTGTTGGGTCTCTTCTTCATCAAATTTAATTGATATTTTGGTTTATTTTCTCAATTAAATATTAACAATCCATTTAAAGATGGGTTCCCGAATACAAACTGGGTGATTTAATGGTATATATGGACTAAAAACATATTCAAACTAATTAATTTGTCATAACTTTGCTTCAAATCCTTCTCAAACATTGTAATTGCGGAGGAATGTCCTGCTATAAAAATTAAATCAAACCAGGTCATGTTTACGTCACGTGACTTACCTCTCTTGGAAGTCAGAGGAGAATTCAATGCATACATAAGACGATGTTGTCTATAATCGCTTACTATTTATTACAAATATTGAATCCTAATTAAATTCTCGGATTATCCACTACCCACGTCTTTTTCCGCCATTTTTATCTCAGAAAGTGTTGTACGTCTAACTCTTCATAAAGTTTATCAACTTGTACATCAAGCACTCAATGTTCGTGTGTGACCTTTGACATCACGTGTGCAGAAATTCCTAATCGTCGGGCTTTTGATTAGATGAACCCTTACATTTTTGTCCTGTATATGCTCCATGAGTGTTTTTCCGGGAATCCAGTATTTTTCTAGTAAGATTGGATATCTCTACTTTCCATATATACCAAAATTACCATACTTTTATTGGAAATAACCACCTGATAAATACTTTTCTGGGAACCCATCTTTAAGTACAATTTAGCATGGATTATGCCATCAAAAATAAGATATTACAGGTATACCTAAAATTTACAATCAGGCTTTGCGACTTTTAGTGAAGACAAATAATGATATCAAGTTATTGGCGTTGCTCGATTAACGTCCCAGATTGACAGAATTGCAATCAAGTGATAAGGAATTCAGCCATGTCACAGTTCTGCCAGGCCCAACAGCTGAGGTGGTGTGAGTAGAATCGTGACGTATTTTAAGTAACAAATATGTTTCAAGTAAAAATATGTTTCAGCTCTCATGATTAGTTGAGATATTATTTATGCAGTTGGTTCATGTGTTGTGCTCCGAAATTCTCCTTTTCATTTGATTGACACTATTTTTGGAATTGAGAGAATTTCAATCAAGTATTCCCCTAGAAATAATGAGGCAAGGGACACAATCCATTCTTATCATATTTTTAACCTGTGGTTGTTTAATAAAATTGCTGAATTCATAAAATTGTGTTTATGACACAAATACATTTTGGGATGATAGTCTTTTAGAGACTTTTGTACAAATATTTATTTCACTGTTTCAAATACAATGAAGAGGGAGAGACAAAGAGAGAGAGAGAGCTAGGTAATTTTTATGGTTCAATTTTAATTCAATAATTTGTTTGCATCTAGGGGTCTTTAGGAAAACAGAGGACCCACAGAAAACCCATGTGGTTGGATAGGAGACCCAACTCTTTGTCACATCCAAGTGAGGAATCAAAACCACTCCATGCTTTAACCATTCCCCAGCCAAACCCCCACAAATACAATGGTGGGGGGAGTCAAGCGATGTGGTTTCAATCCCAAACTTGTATGTAACAAGGAGTAACGAAATGAAATGAAATTGGGTTTAACGTCTTACTGTTCTGCTCCTATACTGGGCTAATGAAGACGGGCATACGCCATACAGTGCGCTATGAGAGAAATTTTGCCCAGGCAGCAGCACTATCGCCAGAGGATCTCTTACGTGCATTCCAATATATACACGGGACCTCAGTTTTTTGTCTCATCCGAAGGACTAGACAGCTGTCCTTGTCGGGCCCTCCATCCTGCATCACTGACAAAGGGGAACCATGCCGGAAAATCTGGATGAACTTTCTCGGCCAATGCAGGGATCGAACACTAACCCTAATCCTAACCCTCCAGGCTAATGAGCCAGCGTCTTATCCACTTAGCCACTGTGATCCCCGCCTAACATAGTTCAATCTTGTATTTAAATAGTTTGTTTGTGCATAGGTGTCTTTAGCTTTAGCAGGATCTGGAGAAAGCCCACAAGGTTGGACAGATGGCTCTACTCCATGTCACATACAAGCTGGGAGTCGAAACCACGTCATTCGACTCCCAAGAGAGACCTTTTGACCATTTGCTGACTACCCACCTCACCCATATTCCTGAAGAAATGGCCCGAGAAATCTCTCTCTGACCATTGCTGGATTGACTTCTAATACTTGAGCTATTTGAGGAAGTGTGTCTATTCTTCCTGTTCAATCAAATCTGTCCTAAGTACAGCAACATGACAGTCCTCGTTTAATCTGGGGTCTTCCCTAAAACTTTGGACAGTGATTTAAGGTAGTCTATTAAAAACGGTGAAAGTATTGTTGAGCTCCAAGCAGTATTGTTTAGATTGTAGCCGTTTGATAGCAATTAGTTTTTCTCCAATATTCTGCTATGCACTTGTTAATTGGGCGTAATAAATCTTGTGAGTTACGACGTAACGTGATGTAAACATATCTAGAGCTCTGTTTAAACGCAGTTAGGGATTGGTTGTTGATCGGGCTATTTACCAGTCATAATTTTTAGCAGAAATTTGCTTTCGTTACAGCAGTGTTTGACTGGGATGAGGTCTAATGAAACGAAAAACTGCAAGAAGTATGCACCCCACCTAAATATGTAGGATTATTCTGTCCACCTGGGACATATAACTGATTGGGGTATGCATAGATTTCGGAATGCGATATGAGCCTGGTAGTGGAGGAAGGGGTGGGTGGGGAGGAGTACAAATGGAGGGTTCAAGGAGCCAAGGAATGAGAAAGTATTTCATACTACCAAACCAAATTCTGTAGAATACAGATACTGCAGTACATGATTTCAAAAGATAGCTTGCCAGGCAACAAAACATACGCCCACAGCAGCTAAGTCATCCAGGTGGTCAACAAGGGTTGTTACATATTTTTTCTTTTGTCGGCAGACAGACAGACAGACAGACGGGGGCAGCGACAATATACAATAGACGACAATATAATTCCTCCTGAATACTACACAGTAGACTAAATAATCCATCTTATGTTATATCATCATTTACTGGTAGCCGTGGGTTGGATGGCCGATTGGTTATTACTGTTCACTGGTAGTCATGATCAGTGAATAGAAGATATCAGCGGCTGGGTTATTCAGTCAAACACACGATCATTTTTATGATAATGTATATTGTGTTTCACTTTGACTCGTGTGTAGAGGGGGAGCCATGGTGGTTTAGTGAGTAAGACGTTGGCTCTCTAGCCTGGAGGTACATGTATCATGTCTATCACGGCGTTGGCTGACAAAGTTCATCTGGATTTTCCAGGGTGTCAGTGATTTAGGGCAGAGAGCCTGGGAAGGAACAAGATATAGTCAGTCATTCAAATGGGATGAAATATTGAGGTCCAATGTATAAATTGGCATGCACGTTAAGAGAAATGGGGTTTAAAGTCCACTTGACACAAACTAGGTCATTTCGGGACGAACATATGGTTTAATTTTATTTCAATAATTCGCTGGCGCGTAGGGGTCTTTAGCAGTGGGAGGAAACCAGAGGACCCGGAGAAAACGCAAGAGGTTGAACGGGCGACCCTACTCCTTGTCACGTACAACCGGGGATTCGAAACCACGCCAGTTGACTCATTGACAGACATTATGATACAGCACGCGCACGCTAACCATTCGGCCATCCAACCCCCCCGCACGTTAAAGAACCCATGACAATTGGAATTTGATATAAGAGGCCCTAGTGCTGCTGTCTGGGCAACATTTCCCTCACTGCATGGTATATGCCAGTCTTCATTAGCCCAGTAGGAGCAGAAGAGTAGGACGTTAAACCCCATTTCATGTGTAGGCCTACATAGAAGCATTAAGACTATTGTAATTAAAGTCAATGGGTCATGTTAATGAATATTGTTATGTATATAGCCCAATATATTTAACATTTTTCTTGAAATGGCTCTTCAAGTCTTTAATACTGGAAACTGATATCAATTATTATCTACATAAACTTATAGGACCACGGATAACCATCTATATAGTACCTTATGCTACTAAGTCGGATAGACCTAAAAAACTAAGGTAACAAGTACAATTACATATTTACATGGAATTACTTCTAATTACTTGGCAAGATCAAGTGTTGACATAAATTGCTTTGTTCTGCTTAGCTTTGATGAAAAAATGTTAATCATTGAACACAGTCAAGACATTCACCTAATAAACATCTGCACCAAGTTTTAACATTCTACCGCAATTAAAAGCAGAGCTGTTATGTTCCAAAGTCTTGACAATCAAATTGCTTATCGCTATTTAGCCTAAGCAGAAAGTTCTCATCATCAAAGTTAGTCAAGGTAATGATATAATAAAGACATCTATACTGAGTTTCATCACTCTCACCTGAGTGTTATCTAAATTATTAATTAGACATTAATTAATTTATCCAGACCATAATCAACTCCCGATGCCATCGTGAGCCTGTGATATTTAGTGGATTTGAATATATTTTGTGATGGATAATTTAACGTAAAAAAAGATAATCGAGACTTTGTTTGTTATCGTAGAATCGTTAGTAATGATGATCGAGGTGAGCCTAAAATTGAATTGCAAATATCTTGGTTCAGAATGACGCAATTTGACCAGACATTTTATGCAAGTAGATGGAAAAACGAAAACCGTGACCATCACACACCAAAATATCAAAAACAAAAAGATTTCATCACATAAACTATTCTTTTATTTTTTCAATACCCAAAAACATTTTGAACTGGAATCAAAAGGAAGGGGGACTGCACGGAGACCCGGACAGTGTCGAAAACCCCAAGCGAATCGAAGTCGGGTCAGTGCCCGCATATCCTGTTAGTGACGAGAGCCTGCCTGGGCAGGTGACTTTTATAGTTTTTAATTCACCAATTTTTTCCAAAAAAGTGGACTGACAGAATCCGATTCTGATCCTACCCACGCCTCTTCACGATCCGGTAACAGTGTATTTTTTTTTTTTATTAATTTATACCAACAAAACCCCATTACTCGGCATACCTTCGGGACAAGTGTCCCAGCTGTCCTTACCATCCCCTCTCACAGACCCCGTGTAGGCTATGTCCCACATTATATGACCTGCATTCTTTTGGTCAATTGGTGTTTGCGGTTTTTCAACTGTACTTCAAGACATACTAGAGAATCCTGTGATTTCTTCAAAACAAGACAAAACAAAACCATACTCACCACTGCTACTCGTTTAGTTGCCATGATTTCAATCTCTAGAATAACAGATATAACGAGCTAAAACATGAAAAGCAGTAACCGGTTTGATGACTTCTAGGGTTATGCAAGTAAAAGTACATAGTGGGCGTGACCCGAGAAAGTAGGCCACCTCTCTATAAATAGACTGATCTCACATCACTTAGTTATTTCTATAGCAGCCTTTCTCTCTCTTTCCTGTTTTTCATGGCAATCTATTTGATTTGTTTAGTCTAGAATTGACTATAAAAAGTTTACATTTTCGTTCAGGTTTCGATGAATATTCATGTTTTAGAGGCGGAAGGATAACAGAGTTGAGAACCTGGCTGCCCCCCGTGACATGTTGGGCGGATAGATACATATTTACAGAATCCTACTTTTAGTTTGTGTATCTCAGAGCATTCTCACACAAGTGACACACAAGTCTCGAGTGCAAGGGAAGACTAGACAACTCTGTTTGGGAGATTGATCTCAGAGCAGAGATTTTCAGTCTCGGACACCCAAAACCTCCTATCCGTCGATCAAAGTAGAATATTTGTCTGAATGATAGACATGATGGACAACCTCAGACCTGTTTTTGAAACCAATATTGCCACATTTTACTCCATCTGTGGTGGAAAGCGTTCAACTCATCGAGCATTCTGAGATGTAGAAATGGTTCCACTACTGATGTCTTCCGCCTTACTCCAGTCACAGTAGTGGCTCGTCCTACGGAGTTCCTTTGCGCAAGTTTTGTTTTTAGTCAAATGGCTACTAAAAGGTTATTGGCCTATAGCTCCCTTAATTTACACATAAACTGATCCAAGACTGTACTGCACATATAACTTAACATATAATAAACCAATTCCCATTGAAATAAAGGTGAAGCCTTGCCGCATTATGATATGAAACCCAACTCCTACCCGAAATTTCTCGCCTACCGAACTTATTTCAACTGGCCGGTGTGGCGGCTTTCACATAAGAAACACCGCTTTGAAAATGTAGAACGCATTACCACAAAGAAAAACTGTTCGGTAACTATTTTAGTGGTCCAGTCTTCACTATTTGTGATAGTATTACTTATTTCAATACAAACTGTAATCGATATGTGTTGACAATTGTGCGTTTGAACGTATTTGAACTTGCGTAAGGAGTCTTTAATTAGACTGTATCAATTGTAGCGTTAAACACAGTTTAACGATACGTTTAATTGTAGCTATCTGAGATAGACTCTGCCCTTAAATAAAGTCATTATTATTATTATTATTATAAAAAACTTTGAATTTTGAGTGGAAATTTTGTTTCTTAATGATTACGCTAGGCCTAATTGGTTTTGATTTTAGATTTTAACAGCAGTTGCCATGCAAGATACACCCACATTTTGCACAATTTTTCGTAAATTATGGGCCATAATCCTCGAAGTTATGGTCTGAAATGCGCGAATATCGACAGGAACTGAGATCTTTGAAGTAAAATTAAACCATATGTTAGTCCCGAAATGACCTAGTTTGTGTCGAGTGGATGTTAAACCCCCCTCTCTCTCTCTCTCTCTCTCTGTATGACCTTTATTGTAACATGACAGGCTATCAGGAGTATCAATATTTATTGTGAATGAACACTTACTGCTATCTTTAGATAACGATTGACTTTTTGACCCATTCAAATTCCGTTGAGGTTCAACGTCACAAATTGAACCATATGTTAGTCCCGAAATGACCTAGTTTGTGTCGAGTGGACGTTAAACCCCATTTCTTTCTCTCTTTCTCGGTATGTAATACGAGAAAACGTTGAATTATAATATGTAGGGTTAGGGTTATTTTTGTATATCTCCGGTTCACTTAACGTAAAATTTTATTTCAGGTGGCCCCTAAATCGAAATGAGTATGACACTCCCGTTCTAGAGGGTCCAATACCTTCGAATTAAACCTTCGTATTAGATACTTGTACATTATTTGCGCACAAGGAGCGTCACCTTTGTCAGACAGTTTTAGTCCGATTTTTACGAAATTCGAACTCAACCATCATTATGGTGTAACGGGGATAAATTGGATAAAAAGTGACTTCTAGAGGGACCACAAACTAAAAACCCTATTTTTCGTACAATCAAGGATCATAATTCAGGAAATTACAGTCCAAACATACAATTCAAGTTTCATCAAAATCGGGTAAAAAATTGTGACCTCTAGAATGTCCACAAGCTACAATCGTGATTTTTCGTACAATCAGGGGCCATAATCCATGACGATACAGTCCAATACATGCCGATATCGAACAGAACCGAGATCTTTTCAAGTTTCGTCAAAATAGGATAAACATTGTGACCTGTAGTTGGTCTACAAAATGACCCTGCCCTTGTCCCTCGATCCTTTTGAAAGTATATATGGACCATGGTTTACCTTTATAATCATTACCGGAACAGAAATCAAAACTCTCTTTCTCTCTTTCTCTCTTTAAACATACAAAGGCAAGAGCTAAATCTGCCTATTTGCAGGTCTTTCTTTAGGCCTGAATATAAACTATTAAATAGACATATATTAACATGTTGGATTTTCAGTGGATTTGAATCCGATCTGCTGCTCAACGCTCATTGATGATTAAATCAAAACAGCGGCTGCCAGGCAGGATACACCCACTTTTTGCAGGAGATGGATAGAGAACAAGCTAAACAAAAGGCGATTTTTCGAAAAATCAAGGGCCATAATTTAGGAAGTTACGATCCGATATGCGTGGATATCGACAAGAACCAAGATCTTTGGGTTATAAACTTACATTTCAAACTTCAACAAAATCAGATAAAAATTGTGAATTCTATTGGGTCCAAAAGCTAAAAACGCGATTTTTCGTACAATCAGGGGCCATAATCCATGAAGTTACGGACCGATACATGCCAATATCGAAAGAAACCAAGATCTTAGGGAGATAAACCTATATTTCAAGTTTCGTTGAAATGGGATAAAAATTGTGACCCGTAGAGTGTGGACGGACGTCCGGACGGACGGGAGAGAGAGAGAGAGAAATGGGGTTTAACGTCCATTCGACACAAACTAGGTCAATTCGGGACTAACATATGGGTTAATTTTATTTCAATAATACGCTTGCGCGTAGGGGTCTTTAGCAGTGGGAGGAAACCGGAGGACCCGGAGAAAACCCACGAGGTTGGACAGGCGACCCTACTCCTTGTCACGTACAACCGGGGATTCGAAACCACGCCAGTTGAATCAATGACAGACTTTGATACATCGCGCGCACGCTAACCATTCAGCCATCCAACCCCCTCCGGACGGACGGACGGACGGACGGACAGGGCGACAACATACCTCCACTTTAGTAATGATCGAGGCTAGGCCTGAAACTCAATCGCTAATATCTCGGTTCAGAGCAGAAAATGTCAACATATTGTCTTTACACTATCTAGTTTTTTTATTCAATCTTCAATAATTCCCCTTTAATATCCGAAGTAATAAGAAAAGATAAATTACTGGTATTATTGCTATAGGGCTATTAGTGATAATATTGATATTATAATCTGTATATGGTGTTTAATAAAACATGGTTTATTAAGAGAGAGAGTGAGAGAGAGAGAGAGAGAGAGAGAGTAACGCCCATTCAACTAAAACTAGGTCAGTTGTTGACTAACGTATGCACGATATTATTTCAATATTTCGCTTGCGCGTAGGATCTATGCCAGTGGGAGGAGACCGGAGGGCACAGAAAAGGGAGGTGACTCTATTCCTTGTCACGTACAAGTGTGGGTACGAAACCATGCCACTGGAACCCATGACGTTCCATGCAGGGCCGTAATTAGCTCAGAGCAACGAGGAGGGTGATCTAAAGCGCGCGTGTGTTAAACCATTCATTAACCAGGATTTCTCAGTATGTTTCCCTTTGTCATTGGTGCAGGGTCCAGCAAGGAACATTGTCTATTCGTTGGTCGTGCAGTTAAAAGAACTATTAGAATTCCATGAAGAGTAAGCAAAGCGGACACGCCGCTCTCCGGCCCCCACGGATAACAAGTGGTGGTTGTCATGCAAGATACGCCCACATTTAGCAAGAGATGTACAGAGAACAAGTTAAATAAATATACTGAGCGCCATGGAAAACGCATCATCACTGAAGAGCACACTTTGCCAGTCTACTCTTCTCCATGTCTGGTGTCCTTGAGCCCATATCAAACGCCGCTGACGGCGATGATCCCTGAGGATAGCTCCAACATAAGGTCGTCGTGCACGGAGTCCTACTTCGCTAAGAAGACGTCTTACGGTGTTGGCACTTACTGGTCCTTGTCTTCCGACGACTGCTGCACCTGTTCGAGTCGCTGGACGGAATCTGTCACGCAGATGCGTGACCCGGATGTAGCGGTCTTGAGCCTGGGTTGTAACGCGTTGTGGACCAGGACGTTGACGGTCACGTGTTGATCCAGTAACTCGAATACGTTCCACTAACCTTACAATAGTGGACTGATGACAATTGAAGTGTCTGGCAATAGCACGTGTAGACATGTCAGCCCGGGACATTCCCATGGCTTCATTCCGTTGATTTTCAGTAAGTCTCGGCATCTCTAGCTCGATTCCTTCATACGTCCAACAACAAATTACGACAGATTGACGTTTCACAGTTCATGTACTGCACATTAAGTTGAAAACATGCTTTTAAAGGGCTCACACACAATGCTGCACGTGAATATTGGGTTTTTCATGTGCATCTCGTGCATTTTTTTTGTGCACACGGGCCGATATTTTTTGCGTTTGGGAGCATTGTGTGAAACGATAGTTCATAGTATTGCATACTATTATACATACAAAACCACCTAGTAATAAAATATTTGGGAAAAAAAAGGGATGCGTTTTAAATGGCGCTCAGTATATAAAGGTCACAATTACTGCTTATTACTGACCAACGTTTCGATTTGGCTTCTCTAGTCATTATCAAGCAATGACTATTTCATATAGCGTCTTGTCTGCGATGTCACCGCGCCTCAGGTACCTTGTACACATTGCCGTGCATGTAGAAGAACACGTGGAAGTGGTTGAAATTTTACAGAGAACACAATTTCCCTCATAAGACACGGCATGGCTTTTGTCCGTCTTGTCTGCGATATCATCTCGGTGGAAGCGGGAGTTAAAGCGATAATTCCATATTTTCTAAGAAAGTCAAAA